GTTCTTGTCAATTTTTTAAATGTTCATTTCGTAGATTATCTACAGTGATGGTGTCCAGAGAGGATATGTACCTGAACTTCCAGGGGGGACAGTTCTTTTATATTCCTTCTCCACTGCAGTTCTGTTCCATGCAGGAGTTCTGGAGCCTCAAAACCTACGTCCATCTTATTGGAAATTTTTGCACAGTATCTCTGGAGGGCGGTAAGTTTATTTTTCCCTGTAGTGAGACCTTCAAAGTAATAATAAGGTTTTACAACATATTCTCCACACTTACTTTGTTCTTTCCCTCTTATGACAAAGCCTTCTCCATTCTTCTCTGTCCTCTCATAAGTTCTTCTTTCATCAAGTGCAATAGATTGTCTTTCAAGAAGCCAGTGTAGCTTATTCATTATAGTGCCTATGGACTGGATGATTTGTATTCAATCCCAGGCAGGGCAGAGGATTTTTATTCTAGCTTCTGTTTCCAGACTGGCTGTAGGTCCCACCCAGCCTCCTCCTTTTCCTCGAGGTAAAGTGTAGTCCGGGCATGACACTGACCACTTACTCCCGTCTAATGACGAGGTCAAGAACAAGTATGAGCTACACATCATCATCGTCATCACCATCATGTCCCCCCCTCCCCCCCAAATCTCTATGGCATGTAGCGAGATAGGTTTACATTTTAGATTGTGTCTTGTGTTACAGGGTATCAGCCATGGATCGAAATTGCTTGGATGCATTTGGTTTGGGCACATCCAAGTCTCTTACAGAGGTTCTTGCCAAAACAAACACACACTTGGTTTCATACAGTGAGCTGTTATGATCTTTGTGAGTAATTCCACTTTATGGTTGTGGTAACAGGTATACACAAATAGGAATCCTGTATCTTTTATATCGTAAATTACTTGAGTTTTCTGATTTTTTTTAAACCCTACATTTAAGAATATGCGTAAATATTATGGTACAATAATAACTACAGCAAAGAAATTGGTAATTAAGGTTATTTTTATACACATCATGGAAATAATTAGTTTAGTGGCAGTAAATGTGAAGATTTATAAAATATGGGAAATATAATAAAGTTAAATCTGGTGTAAAGATATGATACAAATGGATGATAGTACTAGATGTTGCCCGTGATGTGAACTTTCTTAAATTATACAATAACTGGCAGTGAAATAGCTGCATGCACAAACAGGCTAGAAAATTAGTTTTTAATATTTGATTATTTCAATCACGGAATAGTAGACGTGTACACAATACTGCCAAGCTGTAAGAACCATACTGTTAACTTATAGTATTATAGTGCATGACAAAGTTAAAACAAATATTTCAAGATCACAACCTTGTAGCCTTTCTACAAACTATTGGTCATCTGCTGCTTGTTTTGAATTCTAGTATAGGGAGCCAGATATGTTGGTGTGCTGTCAGATGTCAAGGTAGGCACAAAATAATTCCTTTTCATTTCAGTTTTATGTAAAGCATGGGCTGTTCCATTTGGGGTTCACTAAAACAGTCATTATTTTGTACCTAAATTTATTCATTTCTAAACTTTGTATTACAAATTATTATTACTTCACTCAGTAAAATAGCTACCTACAGGTTGAATGACCAAGGTTCAATTTCTGGCAGCAGCTGAATATTTTTGTGTACCACCAGTGTTTATATGAGTTCTGGAGCACTTATCCTTTCCAAAGCATGCTTAGACAAAGCAGCCAGAGCAAGAAAATTATCACTTTCATCCAGAGCCAAGGTCTGTAATATGTATGAAGCTTTTCCTTTACATGTTGTATGTGTCAATGGCATACCGCTGTGTATTTGTAGAACTTTGTCTTTACTGCATTTATTATTCTTGATGGCGTGTTCCAAGTCCTATATTATATAGATTCAGAATTTTAATTTTGTGTTAAGTTGAAAATCAGTGTGAACTGTTTTTCCTGCCAGTAGGTTTGAAGTGATATATTTTTTAATCAAGTAATAACAATTCTTATTGCTTTCATAATGCTCCTGTTAACATGTTATCTGGTGAGTGGGACCTTGCACACTACTAAAGTCAAATTCTGCCACTGGATAAAATCCAGTTCCATCCACATACCAGTCTCACAATCTATTTTCTTGAGATCCCCAACCTAATCTGTATCCAAATTTTCTTTTGCTACATCACTGACTAGTGACTCCCAGCTCCTAATACTGTATGAACTACTTAAGGTATTCCTGAAAGTTTCATAAGATACATTTCCGTGGTGAAGGTTTGAGAATCCAAAACCGTGAGAGCCACTCCTATTGACCAGCTGTGGTCCCTCAGCTGTCTGAAGGCTAAATCCATCCTCAGGCTGACTCACTATACCATAGTGGCAGTAGGCCCAATTAATGTGGGAGTTATTTTAAAATATTAAGGGACTGTGAGCCCTTCTGAAACCATAGCAAGACATATGAAGGAAAAACTGCCATAGGAAATGTAAAATTGTAATTATTTTATGATATTGGACTTGGAGATAATTGTATCTCCCCCTTTCCTTTCCCTTCAGTGGTAGGTTTGCCTTTTTATGCTGGTAACAGTATAAGAAAAAAGAACATATAGCTCACTGTATGAATGTATGTTGAGAGTTCTCAAGAATGGTTTATATCATAATAACAAATATGGAATTCCTATTAGGTTGAACATTTGGATTGTATTTACAGTTAATGTTCCACATTATATTTGATGAATTTATTAACTAGATTATACAAAATAATATTTTTATATCATTATATGTATATATCACTGGATGGAAGTTGACAGTATTGAACAATAAATTGTTTTCATTACATTCATGTTTCTTGTTTGTTCACAAACTGAGAATTATCTGATTACAGGATGATGGTATACCTTCTTACTGGCACAACCTTGGCCTTTGATCACAGAGGTTTACTAAATCCTACTCAGACAAGTGGCAACACATAAGGGCTAAGATGCATGTCTTCAACCCCTTCCTACCCACATCCAACATTACCTACAGGAGATGTAGCTTTCACAAACAAGGTGCTGGACATTGTGTAGCTACTACATCTGGTGTGGAAGAAATGCTGCTGTTACAGGATGGATGTCTTGGTTGACTGTGAAGTGACAGCTGGTTGGGCCCCAGTCTGCCATGTCTGTGCAGGGATAGCAGCCATTGAAACTAGTCTTCGTGCAACGGTAGGTCATTGCAATGAGAATAACCTTTAGAAAGTGTAATTAAAGCTACTCACCAGTGCTACAGCAAATGCTGAAAATGTTGCCTTCCTGACAATGCACTGTATACATATGGAATAGATATTAACTTTTCTGGATGTAATCCCCAGAAATGTTGAAATCTCACAGTGGATGTTTCTTAGTTCTTCCAGAGTTTGGAGAGTTTGTTTCTTATCTGGGTTTTTGTCTGGTAGTGATCTTGTTATTTTCAACTTATTGACAAAATAGAGTATGCTTTGTCTACTTGGAACTGATTCTCCTGGAAACTTATGCTGACATTTTCTGACAGACTTGTGTTTGAAATATAGTTACAGTAGACACATGCTGTTCAGTAGTATGCCTTGAGCCATGTTCAGTACTGAATGGTTAGTGAGAAAAGTATCAGCAGAAGCAGGCATACACGTTTCATAGTGGAGTATATCGTGAACTGCTACTGCTGCAGAGATGTGGCAGGCTGGGGCTTGGCCAGCTGCTTGCATGACCACTGTTTTGCAGTCAAACAGGAAGAAATCCACCATGTATAAACTGGTTTAAGATTAAAAGTTTTGATTTATTTCACATAGTGACAGATATGAATAACCAGTGCAGCTGAGTTAACTTTAAATACATTAACCAACAAACGTTCTTGACAAAAACACTTTGAAAAACTTTTTGGTGACTGATGGTATGTCTCCTTAGTGTTACGGCTAAACTGGAGCCTTGGTCTCCTTTAATGTAGAGGTTGTAAATCCTTATTAAGACAAGTAGTAGGATTAGTTAGCTGGGGGATGGCCATGCATTGCAGTGGC